ACTGGCCCATTTCCAAAAGACTGCAATTCTGAAGAAGGTGTGTTTCAAAGACAAGTGTGCATCAGACTTTTGGGTGTCAAGTTCAGCTTTTGGTTCAGCAGAATGGACTGCCAGTGTTATAGAGTAAGAAAGCTGAGAAATTTGTTCATATTGCCAACAAGGCTGTTAATACTTTCAGACCCCTAACATACATTCCAAATCCAGCGTTCAACTCTTCACTATTCCTCAACCTTGTGACTCCCTAGGCCAAAGTCCCTGTTTCCTTGTAAGTCCAGGACACCAGTTTCAACTTTGAGCAGAGGGTTCCTAGTGTTAAGACTTAAAATGTTTGCTCCAATGGTGAGAGCTGCATCCATCATTACGTGGAAGTCCACCGCCTTATGTTTCCATGCTACTAAGCTAATAAATGAGGAGGCTATGTATTGTATATTCTCTTTCTCTTCGCTTCCCTTCCATTTTCAGCATTAGAAAGATATGAGTGGAAATTCTCATTAAGCTCTCCCCTGTAGTCCCTAGTCACTGCCTTATCCATTCATAAGGTAGGTATAAGTTAGTAAAAATAGCTCTGGCCAGAAGGAAAAAAAAAAAGGCAATCACCATATGAATCCAACTTACTTTCTCCTGGGGACAACCACTTTAATAGTATTTGATTTAATAAACATTCAAAGACAGTATCATGTGTCAGACACTATATATAAGACATTATATATGCAACATGGTCCTTAACTTCAAAAAGCTCTACCTAGAGAAATCAAATGATAAGATTCATATTTCATCACCTCAGTATTAAAAATAGTTTGAAAAGTACAGTTTCCTATAAAGAACAGAAAGGCTGAGATCATATGCATTCAAAGTTGCTGAAATACTGGTTTCTGCATGTAAAAGTTTCTAAAGTTATACTCTCAAGGCCATAAGGAGTCCCAAAGAGGAGGGTGACAATATCACCAGCCCCAGCTTTATTCCAAACCACAAGAACAAAGTGCAAGCTAGAAACATGTTTTTAAAAACAGATTCTACATCTGTGAAGAAAAAAAAAAAGATAGTATGCTTAGAAGCCTATTTAAAGCAGGATTTTAAGTCAGGGATCTATGGATGAGATCCAGACAGTCCTATTAAAACCTCTAGAAGTAAATATGCATTTTTGTGTTCCTCTGAACTTTCCTAAGGACAGAAATTATGATTTTATGAAATTCTTCAGAGATTAAGGCTCAAAAGATTAAGAGCCATTATGCAGTCTCTAATGCACAACTACCAAAGGCATGTCCTCAGACAGGTCGAACTGAGAACAGTTCCGATTCTCTGCCCTTTACACATACTCTGTCACCTCTTCTAGAACCGTAGATGAGGGTTTGCATTTTGAAAATTCAAAATAAACTTCTCTTCTACATGAAGATAACACTAACAACTTAATTAAATGGCAATTAAGTGGTAGAAAGACTACATAGAACCTAGGTTTAATATGCCATTCAGCAGAATCCTGTGTCCTTCCTCTTCCAATGTCAGAAATTCAGAGAAAGGGTAATATTCTGAGAGGTATGTAGAGAAACATGTCCATCAGAGGACATTTCAATTTATTAACTGGAGATTGGGGTTTATTCTATGGAAAAACAATAATCTGACACAATGTCAATTTCTGAAGATACAAAGACAGTTACTGTCTGTACTGCAACAATGTAGCGGATTCATTTGAGTAACATTAAACAGGATTTTCCTTCAGCAGTGATACAATGTACACATATTTACAACTCAAGGACTCCTCACTTCAAGCTTTCCTGACCATAGCACCTGAAACCACTATAAGCTATGAATAAGTTTTATCATGTGAGTTATACCCTAACAATCATTGTGGTCCCACGAAATTTGCCTTTATAATTCTGGGTCAGGAAAAGAAAGTCTTCCATTATTTCTCATGTGTATTAAGGGACAAGACTATGATTCTTTTCATATTCTTCTGGATGTCAGATGTTTAAATGACCTGACTGAGAAGCACTGAAGTCACTTATATCCTTTGGCCCCAGTAATGTCCACAATTCCAGAGGGGCCTCAGAATGGAACTGATTCAAAGATTACCTGGTTTAATGTCAAGCTGGGATCCTCATGGCTGAAAAACTATGCCATTTGAAAGAGGCCTTTTTCACAGTATTCAGTACCAAGCTCTCCTCCACCCTTACCTTTCCCGTACTTTGTCACGTTATCAACACACGAAAGAGGTACAAAAGTGCCCTAACTCATAATGTCTAGTCCAGCTGAAATTCTGAGAAGGAATAAAACGACCAAAACCAAGCTCTACCTAGAATTGAATGACCTTGACTAGTCCTTAACTGGTCCATTAACTAAATACATGACTTTTATCATCATTAAGGGAAGGGTAACTAGTCATCATAATGCACTTTAATACAAGTACAACATAAATGGCACACAATAAAGCTCAGAGAGTAAGATTAATAACATGGGGATACAAACACCAGCAAAAGGAAACTTACAGCAAGGGCTTCCCACATTCCCAGCAAACACTTGCTTATTTTAGCTAATGGAATGTGAATCTCCAAAGTCATTAGCACTTGGCCTCACAATAATATTCATTTGTGATATTCCTCTCAGGAAGAGGAAAAGAAAAGGGGTAGTTACTGTCCTTGGCATTCAGTATCTCAGTTAAACTAGTTAGCCAGATTGGCAGTTAACAACTTAGTACTATATGCAAGGTACAGGGCTAAGCTCCATAGACAAGAGTCCTTGCTTCTAGGAGTTACAATGTTTAATACCAATGTTGACTTATCACTATTTATTTGAAAGAATATAGTTACACTGAAATAAGGAAAAGCACAACTAAAATGACCAACAGTCTCAAGTACTTAAAAGAAGGTGGGCTTATGGCAAGAGATGGAGTCGGGGGAATTAGGCTACTGAGGTTTTCTGTTCTTCCTCTGAATTCACCTGAGGTACTAAGATTAAGAGACAGAGTCAGGGGAATTAGGCCACCAGGGTTTCCCATTCTTCCCTTTAACTCATCTGAGGTACTAAGATTAAGCATTTTGCTTGTGAGAACTCTAACTTCGTTTCCAAATAGTGCAGACTGCAAAAGGTCACTTCTCCAACAAGCAATCAGGGGAATGAGAGCACTAAAAATGAGGCCAACTGGATCCCTCAGGATCAAGGGATCTTCCATAACCTTTAAAAGCATTAATGGTAACAATCTCAATTTTGTGAGAAAACTAAAGCAAACAGTGATGACTTTTCTAGACCTGTCAAATAATTAGTTTCCTGGAGGAAAATACATACATACATACATACATACAAGCCTCTCAGGCACTAAGAGCAGCTTAACTAGCTCAGATGCAGGAACCTTGGGGATTAACTATTCCTGCAAATCTTGCTCTGTTGAATTTATACCATCTCTGAGGCCAACAAATACCGTATACAGGATTAGCTTTGCAATTACTTTATACAAACAGTAAATGTTTGTGCCCCTTCTCATTGGCTTCAGAAAGAGCACCACTTTGCAAACGTTTTTTTTTTTTTTTTTTTGGTGCAATGCTAATTGGGTAGCAGTCAAGTGGAAAGTCAGAGAATGTCTGACGGAAAGCACTGGGGATCCCAATCTCCCCACTGAGGGAGCTGGTTAGACTCAGCCCTCCAAAGATCACCTTTTCCAAGATCAATAGAAGGATGTCCTTTGAGCTCAACCCACAGCACAATAGGCTGAACTTGTTCTGCCTGAGTAAGTGCAGTAAAAAATGAGCAATCATGTCTTACCACCCACCTCTCCAACCCACCCAAGCTTCTTTCTGGAGGGATGTCTAAGTGATCTATCCACATGACTGGAACCAACCTGCACCCATGGCAGTGTTCTACTGTCAACCAACCTCTACATTTTCCTTTCTTGCACAACTTCCAAGCAAGTGGAAGCCTGGAAGGTGAAATCATTTCACCTTTCAATCTCTTGCTGCTTTCGGAACCTTCAGCTGCATAAAAGAGCCCGTTCATAGTCTTTCCTCTTGCCTCTAAGCTATCACGCAGTTGTTGGTTAAACGGCCAATTCTCCCCAAGAGATGCGTTGAAAGGCGCTGCCTGACTTCCCCCACTCACCTGAGGGGAAATTTCCTGCACACCCTCATCCCCTGGACAGGTCACATGGGGCAGCTGAGTCGTTCACCCCCTCCCACTCTCGTCTTCAAAGCCCTCTCCATCCAGGAAAACTCAGCCGCAAATTTAAGGCCTGGTCCTCTCGGGCTTCGGAAAGATCCAGGAGGACTCCGGCCGAGGGACAAAGAAAACCGAGGTCAGATCGGCCTCTCTGGCACCAGATAGGCTCATGGCCGCTCACAGCCACCCACCTACATCGTGTCAGTGGTCCCTGAGCACCCCAAACCTTAGCCCGAAGTCCCGAACTACCCGAGCCCGGGCCCGGGACTTGCTCGCGCCCCTTCCGCGAGGGGCCCCTGCCGCCACCCAGAGCCCCGCACCTTCTTCGGAGCCTTGGTGACCGTGGCCATGAAGGAGTACTTCTCAGCGTCCTCGATCTCCTTGGCCTGTTTCAGCTCCTCCCCGACACCGGGCAGCGGCATCGCGTCAGGCATCGACATCCCCCGGCCGGCCCGGCCAGCGGCTAACCCGCCGCCCCCGCCTCTTTCCCTCCCGGGCGCCCGCCCGTCCGCGCGGCGCCCTCGGCCACGCGCTCGCCCGCCTTCCCGCCAGGCCCCGCGCCCAGCTGCCTGGCCTTCCGAAGGGCTGGAACCCGCGCGCCTCGTCGGCTCGGCCACCCAACACTGCCGGACAGGGACGGCGGTCACAGAAGAAGCAGAAGCAGCAAGCACGCAACTACGACCTGCCCGCGCAGCCACCTCCGCCACACGCAAGCACGCACGCAAAGTAAGGGTCGAGGGCGGAGACGCCACGTCAAGTACTGGCAGCCCCAAGGAAGGTGGGGAAAGAGGTGGGGAGAAATGGCGCATTCTGGTGACGTCTCCGCGCTGGGCCTGGCCGCAAGAACCCGCCCTCCTCCTCTCTCTCCTGCTCCCTTTCCTGCTCCCCGGTGATGAGCTTCTAAGGGTAAGTTGTACCATGTGCGCCGCCAGGTGGTGCCATCAGCCCTGTTGAGCCGTGTGTGGTTCCAATAAAGATGCCACAGGACTGAGGGTCTTTGGACTATTAATTCCCCAGAAGACCATAGGATGGGGTTATCAGAAGCAGTGCTTGAGAGCAAAAGCCAGAGTCCCACAGGACACACTTTGCGGCCCTCCCTGGGAAAATTCAGTGTTGGAGACAACCTACTCACTCACGGTCCACACCCTGGACCCTTTGGACCAGAAGCCCATTTCCAAGGGACAGTGTTTGCTTTTTGACTTCATAGGGGGCAGAACAAGCTCAGAGCACTCTGGTTTTTACACAACCCTTTGTGACCTCCGTCCCCATCTCCTCCTTGGCCTTGTCTGTTTACAAGACCTTCAAGCTGCAGTGCTGATGTGAAGAGGTCATTAAGATAGAGTTGATGGTTCAGAGGGCAGACAACCAGGCAGATTGAGAAAACAAAACAAAACAAAACAAAACAAAACAAAACAAAAAACCCGGCCATACTGGCTCTGCTGCTCCATGCTTTCTCTAGGCATTATTAGTCTGTCCGTGCCAGCTCCACTCACAGTGGCCATGCAGGGCGTTCACAGTTTCTGGATTCTACTGTGTACGGCTCCCGGATAAGGCCCTGGATGGCAGAGGTGCACGCCGCACGGTTATGTATTTCCCAATAACTCGTCCATTTGGAGAGGGAAAGCCTGTTTGTAAGCTGGTGTCAGCTGAGGTATCTTGTCCTTTGAAGGTCATTCAAATGACATTGGCTCCAATTCCTATGTCCTGTGGAAAGTACAATGTTGTCCCCAGGATTTCTGTGAATTGCTGAGGGGGACTTAGGTTTTCATGGTCATCCTTGGCTCTAGTTTGCTGCCTCATCTGAAATTTTATTCACTATTCCACTTTTATGACTGTTTCTTTAGCTCTTGCAGTCACATCAGCCCCTTTCTCTTTCCAACTCCCACTCTTAAACCACAAAAATGAGGCTATAACATGTAGCAGAACTTTTAATGAAGGTTTGTGGGTCACAGGGGAGAGGTTACATCACATAGCAAACAGTCTTCAATCACATTTCTGAAATGTTCCGAAAAATTATTTCACCCATCTCACCACCTTGGGATTTCTCAATGGCCACAATGTCCCACAAAGCTCTCTGGTACACTACACATCTCGTTTCCTCCTCTGAGTCCTTTTTCACCCCTTTGCTTCACCCTTCTCTCTTTGGTGGACTCTGAGAAGCCAGATTTTTCTCTACTGTGCTGAGAGTAAGTCTTCTAGAGGACCTTTCCCCTAAATTCCTTTCCAAGTCCATTCTTTTCTATTTACCACTGTGTTGTGGTATGTTTATTTATTTGTTTGTTTGTTTGTTTGTTTGTGATTGGAGTTCACTGTGTAGCCCAGGCTGGACTTGAACTCTTTTTTTTAAAGACACAGGATTTCTCTGTGTAGCCTTGGTTGTCCTGAACTCCCTTGTAGATCATGTAGCCTGGAACTCACAGAGATCCTTCTGCCTCTGTTGCCCTGAGTGTTGGTATTAGAAGTGTGTGCCACCTCGCCTGGCTTGGCCTTGAACACTTATCCTGTGCCACAATTCCTGGCCTTACCAGATTTTTAAGAATCAACTCCTTCAAGAAAAAAAAAAAAGGAAGGTTGTAAAGGACAACATCTCTCCCCCTATAACGGTTTATGTTCAAGGTTGGGGAAAGTGTGAAATAGTTATTTATGGAAGCACTGAGTTCTTCCTGTGAGAGGCCTGGATCTTAACTACTCAGGAAATAGTCATGTAGATAATCTGAAGAGTGCTGAAGTGCCTGAAAGAATGGATATATCTTAAAATGTTAGGGTTCTCTAATGTACCCAGTCTTCTGAGCATTCAGACTTCTCTCTTGGGGAATCCTATGGCCATGGGGCCAAAAGATAAAACCAGAACACTAGGCTTATCCATACAGGGCCAGGAAGGCCCCTTTCTTCTTCTAGCTAAGGCCTGGGAACAACACCTGGCCCACTCAGGAGCATTCATCTTTTTGAGTTTGTCCAAACTGCTATCAGTGCCCATGGATTCAGCAGTCTTTAGAAATCAGCTAAGAAACTCAAAGTCCCTTGGATAAAAAATTATGTCTTGAGACATTATTATTATTATTATTATTATTATTATTATTATTATTATTATTTTGACACAGGGTTTCTCTGTGTAGCCTTGGCTGTCCTGGAGTTGCTTTGTAGACCTGGCTGGCCTCAAACTCACAGTGATCTGCCTGCCTCTGTGCTGGGATTAAAGGCATGCACCACTGCGCTCAGCAGAGACAAGTCATAAACAAGCACTGGTGTATCTATATTTTGGATTTGATTTTTTTTAACTTTTATTGTACATGTGCTTTGTTTTTCTCTGTGCATTTTAGCCTCCAGGTGGTTAGCTTCCTGGATACCTCTCTTACATTCTTCCAGGGTCAGGGTATAGAGGACCTCCTTCCAGGTCCACAGAACTAGTCCTGGTGCTAGAAGGCAAGACCAGACCTAGAGGGAAAAGAGCTTTATTGAGTGGCATGGGTCAAGATAGAGACCAGCAAGCAATTCCACTTTCCCGAGTGCCTGACTAGAAGGGAGGCTGCTAATTTGGCCTCAGGAGAGATGGGTAAGGATGCTTAGTCTAAAGATGGAAAGGGCATCCCTGTGATGCTGGAGAGGAAGTAGGTCTCTGAGATTCAATCCAGCCCAAGGTCTGGGCATCCCTGAAAACCAGCCACTGTGGAAAGTAGTGGTGGCTGCCATACTCCCAGGTGTAGGCTGGAGATCAAAGTGCTTACCTAGCAAGGGAGTATGCCAACACGACATCTGTGAGAACCACTGCATGCTGCCTGCCTCATGCTCAATCCCAAGTTCAGCCGGAGACTGCCGCTTCTCGAGGCGAACAGATGGCTTGTCCGTGCCTGCTCCCTCACCTGGCGCTACCTCTACCAGCAAGCTAATTCCTCAGAACAGCACAGAGCACCAAGACTAGAGAACCATCCCTGGGTCAGTGTTTGAGAAGAGGGGTCTAAGGATAATACTACTTGTTGTATGTGGTGGTAGAGAGTTTTCAATAGGTCTGGAGCTCAGAGAGGACCCTGCCCTAAAAAGGGGTGGCTGGAAGATAAAGGTGATGTAGAAGATCATCTTACTAAAAGTATAATCTTACTAAAAGTATAATACTTACTAAAAGTATAATGTGCATTGTCTCACATGGGCTTGTTATGGTTAATCAAATAGACTAAGTCTACCTACAAGTTAATTTTATTCTTTTATAAAATATGGTCATACCGTGCGTGATGATTCAGCCAATGACGGATAATATACAACAGTGGTTTCATGGGTTCATTATGGAGCCATGTGGTAGCACACACCTGTAGTCCAGGTAGTCAGAAGGCTGAGGCAGGAGGATCACCGAGAGTTCAAGACCAGTCTGAGCTACAGTGTGAGTTTGAGTCTAGCCTGGGATATGTTGTGAGACACTCTCAGCAAAGACAACACCACCACCCAGACTCTCCTGGTTACATCTTTGTCAACCTGACACAGGCTGGAGTGATCTGGGACATGAGCCTCAATTGAGCAAATGCCTCTGTCAGATGGTCTGTAGACCAAATCTGTGGGGCATCTTCTTGACTGTTGGTTTATGTGGGAGGGCCTAGCCGAACAGATACAGTCTCATAATTAAGTGGTGTAAAAATGCTAGCTGAGCAGGTAATGGGGAGTAAGCCAGTAAGCAGCACTCCTCCATAGCCTCTGCTTCGGTTCCTACCTCTAGGTTCCTGCCTTGAGTTGTTTTTATAATAGACTGTGATCAGGACGTGTAAGCTGGAATCCTTTCCTCTGCAAGTTGCATTTTGATCATATTCTTTATCACAACAATAGAAAGCAAACCAAGACAAAAACTGAAAACAAAGATTACAATGGTGTCGAAGTGGTCCTATAATCCTGTGAACAAAGCAGCTATTGTAGTGTTTTAGTACTACACATTCCTCAAATGTTCATGTGGTACTGATATAAACATACCTTTTTGATATGTTTATCAAAAAGTTTTTAAGTATTTACCATTGTACTACAGCCACCTGCAGTATTCAGCAACAGTAACATACTGTATATCCAGATGCAGTGGGCATACTATATAAATTATATCAGCCTATATGACCTATAACCCTCGAAGGTATAATGTAGGGTGTCACACAGTGTTGAAACTGCCCAGTGATACAGTTCTCAGAATGTAGGGTTAGCTAGGGTTAAGTTCCACCACTATTGAATGCTGAAGATGTACTAGAACAGTGCTAGATGCCATTTAAGAGACTAATAACACTGGCTTGTAGGTGGGTACAGGTGTGGGGCTCAGGATGAACAGAAGGGGCATCACAGACAGGGATGCTACATGTGCTGTCCTGACAGGAAACAGTTGGATAAGGCTGAATTCAGGCTGAAGCCTTAAGAAAGGCAGAGCAATGGAGACAGCTTGGCATGGCATGGGAAATGTCACTATTTTAGTGTGCTTACAATTGCACAGAGGAAAGGCTGAAGCTGGAGACAGATCCGATAGGGCCTGTTGCACTGTGGGTGGGTAGTGCTCATAATCACGAATATGAAGAACAAAGGAAGAAGAGCAGGTCTTCATGGAGAGACTAATGAGATATGGGTTTAATGTGTTTGTGGAAGGCAGTGTCCCTGAGTCTTAGGGAAGCCCAGTTTTTGTCTCTGTATTCCCAGCCAGCCTGGCCAGCTGCCTACCTAGCTGTACTGCTAGCTACCCAAGAAAGACTATACTTGTTCTTTAGGCCTTTTGCCTCTTGTCAGCCAGGCCTTACTTTAAGTGTCCCATAATTGTAGTGATACTAGAAACCCTTCCTGCCCTTATCCTCTTTCTGACCTGGAAGAAAGCTGTGTTGCACAGCTCTGAGAGGCATCATTGACATGGTGTGTGTGTGTGTGTGTGTGTGTGTGTGTGTGTGTGTGTGTGTGTGTGA